CTAACTAACTAAATAACTAATTAACTAACTAACTACCTACCTACCTACCTACCTTCTGCAACTACAACATGGTGCCCGGAATTTCGAACAATTAATTGTAGCGTAATTCTTGCAATCTTGGTCATCTTGCCCCACTTACCCCACTTGTTCGCCGACGAGTTTACCAAGATTGCAAGATTGCTGGCAATCTTGCTCCCCTCCCAGTGGGGCAAGTGGGGCAAGATTGCTTGGCAAACTTGCTCAACTAATTGTTCTAAACTCCCCGCACACTGTACTACTACTACTACTACTACTACTACTACTACTAGTACTACCACAACTACCACTACTCCTGCTGCTGCTGCTGCTGCTACTACTACTACTACACTCAGGACTGGAGGCTCGCCATTTCCATGCTCAGCACGATGGTCAAGGCTTGCAGCGAAAGTGAGAAAAAACCAGATATGGGGATTTCCAAAAATAGGGGACCCTAATATAATACCCTAAATAATAGGATCCTTATTATACGGACGCCAAAATAAGGTACCCCAATTTTCGGAAACTCCCATATGGAGAGTGTCCCAGCAGGTTACTATCCCTTTCCTTACAAGAACGGATTCCCTTCAAGACGTCAGGAGGCCGTTCGCATCAACACAGTCGTGCTCCTTGCTGCTCTTGACGCCTGTGCCTCCGTGCAGGCCTCAGGCACTATGTGCTGAGACAGTAAATCTTCTAAAAGACCATTTGCACGGCTTTGGATGCTGGCATAGCCGTGGATGATGCAAAGACGCGCTTAGCCTGTTCCCGAACCCTTTTTCACTTCCATGCTTTCAATTGCAGCCCCCTGAAACCCTAAACCCTAAACCCTAGACCCACTTCGCTATTCCAGGCGGGAAAAACAGATACGATCATCGCGCTCTCCACGGAGATGGCGGATGCAGGGGTTGCGATTGTCCTCCGCCCTGTTTGCTGCAATTTTGTCAGGATGTGGGAGTTTCGGAAAACTAGGGTACCTCATTTTGGGGTCCTTATAATAAGGATCCTACTATTTAGGGTACTATATTAGGGTCCCCTACTTTCGGAAACCCCTATGTTACCACCAGCAGTCAGAGCGTAGCCGAGCCTAGGCCCTAAACTCCGGAACAGGATGCAGAGACGTGCAGCGCCATTGTTGCAGCAGCGAACTCAGTTCATCACTCTTGGGGTTGAGGGCTTAGGGTAAGTGAACCCAGCTTTCGTGGAGGCCTGTGAATCTCGGCAGCCACGCCGTGCTGCTATGCTTCTGGATACGGCCGGCAAGGACAGTTCGAAGAAGAGGCTTCTAGATTCTACACTTTCACGGCTTTACTGCTTGCTTGGCTTTTTCAGCTCGTAGCAGCTCTACAGTGCTTCGTGATCCAAGTCATGGGACAAAGTCCAAATAGGTTTGCATTCACTCCCCAGTATCGGACAGAATAGGGGTATATTATACTATAGTTATAATAAAGAGCCCCGACCCTACTCTAACTACTAAGGCCCCTACAAGCAGATGGAGGGTCTTTTTCCTGTCAAGGACGGCTTGCAGCAACTCAAGAGCTGCGGTCGCTGAGATGCAACTTGCAATGGTCGCTAGTGGGGGGGTTTCTGAAAATAGGGGACCCTGAGATAGTACCCTAAATAGTAGGAAACCTATTAAGGACCCTAAAGTAAGGTACCCTAATTTTCGGAAACTCCCTGTTTCAACTTGCATCCAGCGAAATGTTTGCCCTCGCACTTGCAGTCTCACCGCTTGCTGACCTGATCGACTTTCGTTCGGCAGCCCGGACTGGCACTGAGCCGGGAGAAAAAAGACCTCGGATGTTCCACTCTTGTTAGCACAGAAGCAGTGTCTGCAGCTCTGCGCGTGTTTTTGGAGTACTTTGCCGCTTCGCTGCCAGCTGCTTTGATCAAGCTACTGGTCACAGACTTTGGGGAAATCTGAAGTTTTCCATGTCAGACTTCGTCTTGAAGGTGAACGATCCAAATTTACAACCAAGGCAAGTGAGGAAAGCTTCAGGCGCAAGCACCGCACTGTAATGGTTTAGGGTTAGGGTTTAGGGTTTAGGGTTTAGTGATCACTTCCTCACTGCTACGCGAAGTGACAATGCGGCTCGGTCCCTTCATTCCCCGTCGTGGCCGCCGTCTTTGCTGTGTGCTGCTGCTTCTTGCAGTGCTGGCTCCGTGAGACTCTCAGGCTTTAGATTTTAGGGTTTAGGGTTTAGGGTTCAGGGTTTAGGGTTTAGGGGGGGTTCGGAATTGATGGATTGGTTAGAATTTGCTGCAGCATGAGGGGCTCACTTGAGTCCCAGAGTGTGGAACGTCTTACTTGCGTGGCCCCCATAATGCTGCTGGCACGGTTCCTTGTGTGCTGCCATTTGGGTGGTGCCAACGAGTCCGATCGCCTTTGCCACCAAGGCCGAACCTCACATTTGGAAAGCCCCAGAGCACGCCGAAGGAGTCTTCAAGACAGGAACTGCAGGCGGATTGCGGGGAGTCTCTTTTTGCATGTTAAGAGATATCATGATGGTTCTGAAGCATTAAGATTGAAATATCTATGTGAATTCAACATGCTCTCACAGATGTGTTTGACATAGTCCAACACAACAGCAGCAGGCACATCCATGTTAAGGGCTAGGGTTGGGCGGTTGCCATAATCAGTGCTTTCTCTCAAGAAGTTGCCAAACACCCACGACTTTGCGCTAGCTTAAAAGGAAACTCCTTATTTTGCTCTGCACGAGTCTGGCCTTTGGCAAAGTAAACGATGAGAACTCGCAGAAAACAGCCAACAGTAGTTGTGCTTCGCGACGGTGCTTTGCTGAAGTAGCAGCACGATAGACATCATCATATCTTACACATCTTACGAAGACAAGAAGCAAGAACAGTCTTTGCGAACACCTCGGCGACTTCCGGGTCGAAGCTGCAGTTCTCGTATCGTCGAGACAAGCCATGAACCCGAGACTGAGGATTTGCGCTGATTTCTGTCATCACCAACCGTTCAAGGTACAGCATGCAAGCCATGCCACTGTCCCCGAACATGCAATCTCTAAGCCTTGTACAGCCTCAACGAGGTCCTGCCATGTACCGCTTTGTAAAACCCGAGACATACACACACACACACACACAAGCTGATTCTGTAAAGCAGGTCCTGGGCTTGCATTCTGCTGACCTCTTCCCGGCATCTCGGCTGTGCGAGCGCCATGTGTTGCAAGCTGGACTTTGCTTAAGCTGTATAACGCCTCCGCGTCGGTGAAGCTGTTTGCCCCGGTCGCAGCACCCCTGTTGCCAAGGTCACAAACTTGAGTTTCCCGGCAGGAAGGACAGCAGATGGGGATGCAAACGATGACAGTGACACGTAATAAGAGAGCAAGCGCATGTTTCAGCATTTCAATCCAGTGATGCATGTCTCAGGCTTGCTTTCGTGGGTAGCCTTGATCTTCTGTCCACGATGGCGCCATTTGAAAGCTGTTGCTCTGGTTGGTCCCGTCATCAATGCCATCACCTACACGTCACTTGGTGCCGCAGGCATGAGATGTTCGTGTCGTAGCAGCATCCCGATAGCTCGGCTGAGATTTCGATGAGCTCCGTCCTGTTTCTGAAGTGGGCCGTTTTTGGTAAGCAGAANNGCGATGAGGGATGAACCTAACGTCGATCTAAAATGAGGTTTGTGATCCTCTTCACATTTTCGCACCCGGATCCGAGCGTTGTATCTGACATCACGAGCTTGGAGGGTATAGTGTCGCTGTTTCGCAACAGTGATGCCGTCTTTGCGGGCTGGTTGCACTACTGCGTCTTCGACCCATTGATCGGACTTGGAGAAGTTCTCGACAGCCAACAGACCGGTGTGCCACACTTGTTTGTGGTTCCGTGTCTTCTGCTCACCATGTTCCTGGGTCCCATGGGCTTCCTCCTTTATCTTGCTGCGAGGGGGTTGACCATGTACGTGAAAGATGATGGATACACTGTACAGTAGTACGCGACGTGGCTCGATGCAAATCCAGCAAAACATGTTGTGTCACACTTGCACATTGCTTTGGCGCGGCTTCTCCCGCCAAAGCACTCAACGCGGACGTTGAGTTCGTAGGTGTCTTGCTGGCCTAATCTAGGAACCTGATTAAGAAANNGAAACCCTGGCCCTATAACCCAAATATACTAGAGTTCGCCATTAAGAACCCTAATAACGGCCCAGGGTTTCTTAATCAGGTTTCTACATTCTTAACTTTGGTGATGTTGCTTCGAACGCTTTGGCCTGGATCGCACAGCTAATCGTGGCTCTGCCCTGCACAGGGTTTAGGGTTTAGGTGACAGGTGCCCATTCTATTTTTTGCTGCTATATAAGGAATCATATTCCGATTTTCCTTAGTAAAATCGTTTCTTCGCTGGCGCGCAGTGTTCTTATTTTGAATCATCGCGCAGTGTTCTCATATTGGATCATATCAAATGGAAATCTGCATCAATCCTCTAATCTTTCTCGATAGTATCAAATGGATCTGTGCGGATGATCGTGGCTGTCAGAGGTTTAGAGACTACAGATTAGTTTGAATTGCGATCTTTAGAGAATTCGATAGCGAGGCTTGTCCTTCGGTCGGGGTCTATTTTTTGCATATTCGTGGAATCTTGGGTACATCTTACATTGTTAATCGATTAGTGGGCTTGAGGTCTAGAATTTAAGACTTAGGGCTTGTAGGACTTGGGGTTTTCGGGGCCGTAGGATTCCATGACTGGTGGTTTCGGTTTTGAGACATTCCTCTTTTCAAAACTCCTTTGGATGTAGTACAAAAACAGACAGTCTTAGTCGAAATCGAACATTGAATCCTTATACTTTCGAAATATAAGAATGGGATATTGTAATTACCGAACGGCTTCTTTGATTAGAAATATATTGGCATATTGGTATTTCTGAATCTATTTAAATGTCTGCTTTTATTAATCTGATGTAGATTTTTCAAGAAATATGGGTCTGGGTTATAGAAAACGAATTCTGATGGATTCGTAGGGGAGTGGTCTAAGGACGATTTTTTTATTTGGAGAAGATTTTGCAATATTGATTTTGAGGCCTCATATGAAGAAAATATGTAACTAAATAATTAAATCTACGAAAAAATATTTGGAAATATTTTTCTACCGTATTGTGCAAAATAATTTATATATATATTTTTTTTTCTAAGAGAAATTCTGGTCGAATTATTTCTATGCATAATCTAATATTATATGTATATATTCATAAATAGAAAAATATTTCTTCTATATATTTCTGTATCTATATGATTTCAGAAATGATAATATTGAAAAGATATATGGAATGATGCTTGAAAAGAAGTTGAATTGGATGAAATATTTGATACGAGGTTTAGAAGAATTGATAGGATTTAGATAATATATATATATATATATAGAATGATAAATATCGATAAAAATAAATTGTTGATCGATTCTAATAATATTAAATTCTCTAAGATTGAATAAATTTTGATTTCTGGTAGCATTTGAAAAATAGGTTCGGATAAAATAGTAATTCTAAATATCGATAATTTCTAGATATAATTATATTGATAGATATTTAATTAAAATATATTTGAATAAAAAAATTATTGAAATAATGGAGATTCTAAAAAAGATCGATAATATTGAAAAACTCTATTCTGGGATTATATCTATTAATAAGAGAGATATTATTAAGATTTTCGATTCTATATGATTCAATTTTTTAAATAAAGATGGTATTGATTAT